CGGGGGAGGAGAGGAGGAGGGGAGAGGGCGAAGAGAGGGGAGAGGAGGTGGGAGGGAAGAGAGGGCAGAGAAGATGGGGCAGGGAGGAAGGGGAGAAGGGGAGGGGGAGGGGGAAGGACCCGCCGCCCGCAGTGACCGTCATCCGTGCCTCCCAGGACCACTCGGAGCTCCCCATGGGCGCCGCAGCCACCATGGCCCACGAGATAGGCCACAGCCTTGGCCTCAGCCACGACCCCGACGGCTGCTGCTTGGAGGCCTTGGCCGAGCAGGGCGGCTGCGTCATGGCCACGGCCACTGGGTACGCGCGTGGGGGGGAGCTGCGGGCCGGGGCGGCGTTTCTTTGGTTATCCTTCAGTTTCCTCTTCTGTAAAATGGAAACGATGATGACAGTGCCGCTCTTAGGGCTGTTTAGCTGCAGGCGACGCAGGTAAAGTGGATTCTCGGGCGGCATGTAGAGTGTTTTCCGAACATCCGGGGGAAGTTACTCCTACCCTGAGACCCGGGGAGTAGCACCGCTGGGGCGCGAACTCACCTCGAGTCTGGCCTGCCCAATTTGGTGGCACACACTCCCGCCTCGGGCTCGCTGCGTGGCCGTGCGCGCGGGTCCATCCCTCCCTGGCGCCGCCCCTGGAGGGTTCGTGCCTCCTCCCTTCGCTCTGGTGGCGCCCGCGCTTTGGCGGCTGTGCGGCCCGGCCCAGGCAGGGTTGGGGGTCGGAGAGGAGCGGGGCTTTAGGGACGGTCCCCACGCCCGGCGCCCGCAGGCACCCGTTCCCGCGCGTGTTCAGCGCCTGCAGCCGCCGCCAGCTGCGCGCCTTCTTCCGCAAGGGCGGCGGCGCGTGCCTCTCCAATGCCCCGGGTCCCGGGCTCCAGCTGCCGCCGGCACGCTGCGGGAACGGCTTCGTGGAGGACGGCGAGGAGTGCGACTGCGGCCGCGGCCAGGTCAGGTCGACTTGCCGTACCCGGGGGACCAAGGCCGGCCCCGAGTCGCCCTCTCCCCGCGCCCTCGCCGGGTCCCCGACTCGCCTTTCTGGCCCAGGAGTGCCAGGACCTCTGCTGCTTCGCTCACAACTGCTCGCTGCGCGCGGGGGCCCAGTGCGCCCACGGGGACTGCTGCGCGCGCTGCCTGGTGAGAGCATGGGAGGCTGGGGGTGGGGTGGAGTGTTGCGGGGTGCTTGGGAGCCGGACTGTTGACCTCGGCGATTGGCGACCTCAGGTCCCACGGGTGGGTGCCGGCTCTGCTCCGTGCGTGGGTCCGCCTGGTCCTCCGAATCGCGCTCTCGGCACGGGGCGCTCACCGGCTCGTTGTCTCTTTGTCCTCCCTCACTGGGTCCTCGGTGCAGCTGAAGCCGGCGGGCGCGCTGTGCCGCCAGGCCACGAGCGACTGTGACCTCCCAGAGTTCTGCACAGGCGCCTCCCCACGCTGTCCCCCGGACGTTTATCTCCTGGATGGCTCGCCCTGCGCCGGAGGCCGCGGCTACTGCCGGGATGGCGCGTGTCCCACGCTGGAGCAGCAGTGCCAGCAGCTCTGGGGCCCTGGTGAGACAACGCCAGAGCCCTGCACCCTGTACCCACCTCGGATCGGCCCAGTTTTCTGCGGTGGGGAAGATGGGCAGAGGGAACTGAGGTCCAGGAGGCGCTGCCTCTGTCTGGGCTGCCCCCAGACGGCCATGCTTCCTCAGGCTCCCGCCCAGCCCCAGAGGCCTGTTTCCAGGTGGTGAACTCCGCGGGAGACGCCCGTGGGAACTGTGGCCAGGACAGTGAGGGCCGCTTCCTGCCGTGTGCAAAGAGGTAGGGTGTGAAGGGAGCCAAAGGTGTGGGGAAGGGAGGGGTTGTGGCCTGCAGCAGGGTAGACCACTACTCTCCTCTTCCTCCCAGGGATGCTGTATGTGGGAGGCTGCAGTGCCAGGGCGGAGAGCCCAACCCACTTGCCCCACACACGGTGCCCATGAACTCCACCACTCTCCTGGGTGGCCATGAAGTGACCTGCCGGGGAGCCTTTGCACTCCCTGGTGCCCAGCTGGACCTGCTTGACTTGGGTCTGGTAGAACCCGGCACCCTGTGTGGACCTAGAATGGTGAGCCCTGACCAACCCCCTCCCTGCCACTTGAGTCCTGCAGGCCAGAGTATCCTCCTCACCATACGGTGCGCACCGCCCACAGGTGTGCCAGAACAGGCGCTGCCAGAACGCTACCTCCCAGGAACTGGAGCGCTGCCTGACTGCCTGCCACGGACAGGGGGTGAGCTGCCTGTCGGTAGGGGTGGCCTTGGGGTCCCTGATCCTACGTGACCCTCTTTCCCACCTCTTCTTCACAGGTTTGCAATAGCAACCATAACTGCCACTGTGCTCCGGGCTGGGCTCCACCCTTCTGTGACAAGCCAGGCTTTGGTGGCAGTGTGGACAGTGGCCCTGTGCAGCCCGAAAGTGAGCCAGTGGGGGGCAGTTGGGCAGGGCTCAGGTGGTGTCCCTGCTCAGGACTCAGCCCATCCTGTCCTCCGCAGACCATGACATCTTCCTGCTGGCCATGCTCCTTAGCTTCCTGCTGCCTCTGCTCCCCGGGGCCGGCCTGGCCTGGTGCTGCTACCGGCTCCCAGGAGCCCATCTCCCTCAGTGCTGGAGAAGTGACCCCGCATGCAGTGGGTAGGCTCTGACTGCCCGGCCTCTGGAGGCTCAGGCCCCTGCTTCCTCAGCCCACTTCTATGGTTCCTTCCTCAGAGCTCTGCCAGGGCTGCAGGAAGCTGGGGCAGGGTCCTTGGCCTTGGCCCCAGGTGCAGAGAACAGCCCTGGAGACTGTGGATGGACGTCTTGGGCGGGAGGCCCAGTGGCCTTCCAGGGGAGCTGAGGATGTGGATCCTTCCCCACCACCAGCTTCTCAGGGCATGGCCCTCTCTCCCCCATGGCAGCCAGTCTTGTCCACATGTCCTGCTTCTCCACCAGGTGGCTGCTCACCCTTGACTTTGCCCAGTTTTTCCACCAGTTCCAAATGCAGGCCTTGCTCCTGTGCCCTTGGAGACCTCTCCAGCCTCCATCTCAAGCGCTTTCTGTCCTCTGCCACTTCCTCCGCCCCCATCGCCTCTGTCACCTGCTTCAGTTTCCCAAATGCTGCACCCAGCATGTCCTTTCACTCCATACCACTGGTCAGCTATGGTGCCGGCTGCCCTTGTGCCAGGGGCTTTTCCCCAACCCAGTTCTCTGTGGCCTGGGAGGAAGGTCACACAACACTGAGCTTGGTCGTCCTAGGGCTTCTCCTTCACTGGGGCCCTGGGCAAGGCAGGTCTGACCCAGCCTGGCCTTGGGAGTGCTCAGGGCAAGCTTGGGCTGGAGGAGGGGGCGGAAGGCATCCCAGATGGGGCAGGGTACCAGCCAGGCTCCAGGTGCCGGCTGAGAGGGCCTCGACACAGTAAGCAATGATTGGGGGTCTGTAGTCAGAACCTGGCGTGTAAGCATGGGAGGAGGGTGCTGCATCTCATCCCCAGGGCAGACTCTTGAGGGCAATGGAGTCTCTTTTGAAGAGAGGTCATGGGAAGTGAGAGGCCGGGGGAGATGGGGTGAGGCAGCTGAAGATGGCTTGGGATCTTCAAGGGCCAGGAGCACAGGCACAGGGGAGGATGTCTGGCTCTTTAAGACCTGAGTGATGCCAGTATCTGGAGACTGCCTGGCTGCTGGGGTGGCATCAGAACTTGGGGTCAGCGTCAGGGCTGGAGAGAGGAGGTGCCGGGGGCCATGGGAGGGCATGAGTCTCAAGTGGAGCCTGGACCCAAGGGCTCCTCTCAGAAGGGAGTAGGAAAGACTTGGAACAGAGGGTGGAATCTCAGGCAGAACTCCAGCTGGACACCATGCTGTAGGAAAGAGTCCCAGGGTGTCCTGCTAGGAATCACTGTTCCAACCTCTTGGATTCTTATCCCGCTGCCCAGGCCCAAAGAAGGCCCATGCAGGGACCATGCCCTGGGCAGTGTTCACCCCATGGAGTTGCGCACCATAGCCACGGATGAGCCGGGCCCTCGGGTGAGTGAGGCATGGGGAGGGGAGAAGGAAGTGAGGGTATGGCCCCCTCCTCTCCACAGCCACCTTGAGGCCCTTGTGCTCCACCTGGCCCCAGGGACTCCTGCCGACTGTGTTCACAGCATTCATGCTCCGTCGTTGCTTCCAGACCCTGAGAACTCTGCCAGAGTCCAGCAGCCACCCTGAGAAGCCTGTGTCCTGCAGCCCCGCCTGACCCCCAAGGTAGGTGGGGATCCTGATGCAGAGCCCTCCACTCGCATGGCTCACCCACCCACCCCTCTCGTCCCTTGGCTCGCTGCCCCCTGCTTTGAGGTTTCTGGGCTTGGGTTATTATGGAAATGAGACATGACCTCTCAGAAAAGCTGTTGTCATGGAGACCATATTGCTGGAAGCCCCTGGGCTGAGGAGGGAGAAGTTGTGGCTCTTCCCAGGTCACTGGTCCTCACTGAGACGAGACATGCCCCTGCCAAATGACTTGCAGCCTGGGGCCCCAGTACTTAGGGGATGACCCACGGTCCTCCTCATTCTCAGCAGGTCAAGTGCAGATGCTACAGTCCAGTCTCTGGTGAGAAGTGCTCCTGGAATGAGAAGACTTAAAGGCACGTGGCCACTGAGAGCCACTCCAGGAACTCAGACCCCCAAGGGCAGAGCCAGTGAAGCCCTTCCTGCACCTTCAGTCACCTTGGAAGTTTCTTCTAGTTGATCTCCAGCCCACCCACTCCAGGACCCCAGAGCCTCATCAGAAGTTTCCCAGGGGAGTCCCCAGCCCTGAGAGTACACCTCCAGCTCCATAATCCGTCAGCCCCAGGAGCAAAGGTCATCTAGTCCCTGATGTCCCTCACTAGGGGAGGCTGGGTTGTGCTGGGCAACCAGAGAGGCCTCTGTCCTGGGAACCTGGTATGTCTCTTCCCCTGGATCCAGCTCTGTGGAAGGCAGTAACTGCTGGCCAGAAGCTAGAACTCCTGGGACTTCATGTTTTTACTGAGTCCATACTCCCCTGAACCCTGGCCCCTGCAAACACACACACACACACACACAAACAAAAACGTTGGGACCTTTTTTCTTGTCTCTTCTTGCCCTGTCTTATCCCCTAGATGCTTTCTCAGTCCTCACTCCCACTCCTAGTGCTCCACCTGAGGTTCTGGGGGAATGATGCAGCTCCCTTGCTATGAACATGACTCAACCTCCCCCACCCTCCGTGGGAGGGGCCCGAGGGAGTCATTGAGTTAAAGATACCAGAATAGAAGCCAAAAGGAAGACATGATGCCCTTGGACCTTTGTGAGTTTTTTCTGCCTATAAATCCAACCACATGGGGTACACTGAGGGCCACAGGGGATGGTAGCTGGTGGGTGGAGCCTCGGATGGCAGCTAGGACCCCAAGCATGTGTCTGGGCACAGGACAGTGTTGCATACCTTGAATACCCCCTTTGCCCTGACTCTCTTGTTTCCCTGGGACATTCTTGTTCTGTTGCTTCATGTAAGAGTTGCAAAGTGACCTGCGTTAGCCTACTGAGAGAGCCGTAGGTGACCTCTAGGTGTCTAGATTGGTACCTGGCTCTGGGTTAATTTAGGGTTGGGGAAATATGCTCAGTAAAGGAGGTGCGGTTGAGGTATGGATCCAAGGTTGGTTGTGTTCCATATGAAAGGCATGAGTTGTGTATTATCCCTAGGAATCAGCAGTTTCTCACAGCCAGCAAGCTGCCCCCCACCACAAGATGTTAAACCATCACGGAGGACATGAAAAGCATATTTCCCACATGCTCACCCTTCAGGACCCCACAGGACTCTAGCTACAAAGGTCCCTAGGGGAGGCTACACTCTGCCCTCTTGACAACTACCTAAGACTGCCCAGCCCCACCTTCCCCATTCGTGAAGAACAATGGGAAGGAAAGGGGGCCATGGAAGAGAAATCCCAGTCTAGGGGGAGGGGCATGACTGGAGCCCAGAATCGCCTGGCTCATGGAGAACTGGAGAAAAGGGACTTAGGAGAACAGAGCTGGCAACAGGCCAATAGTAGGAGCGTGAAGGGCGCAGGAGGGGAGTCAAGTAACCTAGAACTGAGCAGGGGCTGCTGAGGAGCTGAGCAGTCATCAGGCTGGGGGGTGGCGAGTGCGCTCAACTCAGGTGACACCCTCTCTTTGGCCATCCAGCTGCCAACTACTTGGGGCGGCCCCTGGGGCGACTGTCCTTCCTCTGACACTCTGCGGTGTGTGGTCATCTCTCAACCCTTCCTCCTCCCTCCCCATCCTCCCATCATGAGGCCCTTGGCCCCGAAGAAGGGAGTTGCCCGCAGACAGGTGGGAGAATGTGCCTGCCCTGTGTGGCCGGAGCTTGGGCCTGAGTTTCCTTCCCTCCCCCCTCTCTTTTCCCAAGCACCAGTACAAAAGGATGTTGCAGAATTAAACCACCTGCAGTGGCATGGTTTGCCTTTCAATTCAGTGGCCATGGCTATCAGCACTGTGGCCGCCTCCTGATGAAACAAATGAGGAAGCAAGCAACCACAAACCACAGACTGATGTATGATCACAGCCAAGGGCAGCCAGGCTGATTGTGGCTCTCAGATTATACTTTGAATGCCTGGGTTTTGAAGGTCTGTAGATGAACCTCTGGAATGATTGAGGAAAAAAAGAGAAGGAACAAATCAATAACATCACGAATAAAAACGAGCATACATGAAGACATAGCAGAGATTTCCTATATACTAAGAAAATGATATATCATTATGCAAATAGATTTGAGAAAGGTGAAAAACACAAATTCCTAGAAAAATAGAACCGACCTACTGCAGTGTTATAATACATATATACTGATTTTCAGCCATGGCTCCTGGCTTCTGCTCCCATAGTCTTTATTATAATGTTGGGACACTTGAGGTCTCAGGAAACAGAATCTCTTTCTGACCTTCTCCTGCCCTCATTTCCCCTGCCTAAGGCAGAAGTCTAATCTGATTGTGGGTCAAAAGACCCTCATTCCAGAGAGAGTCCTGCCCCATACCTTAGAAAAGGGAATGCTGTCCAGGGAGGCCAAGGAAAGTCTGAATAGACAGGGATTGCTGGATTTAGATTAGGTGCTTTCTGTCCAATTGCATTTCTACATGGTTGCAATCATGCCTATGTAATGAAACCTCCACAAAACCCCCAAAAGACATGGTTTGAAGAACTTCCAGATAGCTGAACGTGTGGAGGTTCCTGAAGGGTAGTATGCTGGGGAGGGCATGGCAGTTCCACACCCCTTCCTATACTTTGTCCTGTGCATCTGTATCCTTTGTGATATCCCTTATAATAAATTGGTAAACATATTTCCCTGAGTCCCAAGAGCCACTCCAGCAAATTAATCGAACCCAAAGAGGGGTAATGGGGACCCCAACTTGAAACGAGTCGGTCAGAAGTTCCAGAGATCCAGACTTGCAACTGGTGTCTGGTGTGGGGCAGTCTTGGAGATTGAGCCCTTAACCTGTGGGATCTGGTGCTATCCCTGAGTAGAATTGAATTAGATGACACCCAGCTGGTTTCCACTATTTGATGTGTGGGGGAAAAGTCATACATTTAGGCACAGAAGTCTTTTTCTGTGTTGATGATTGTGGTGGTGGTAATGTGAGAACAGAGGAAAAACATGAGTTTTCCTGAAAGACCAACATTTGATTAAAGAGAAATAGAATGCCCAAGTAGTTTTATATTTATCAGGAAAATTTGAATCAGTAGTTAAATATCCTTCTCCATGAAAACGCCAGGCCCAGATTTTTTTTTTAATTCCCAGAGAAATTTCTTCAAGTTTTAAGAAACAATCTTATTCACTTCCAGTGAACTGAAATAGAGGGAATTCTTCACCACTCATTCTATAAGACCATTATAATTTTACACCCAAACCAGAGAAGATACACCACATAAGCAAAATTGCAGGCCAAGTTCAATCATTAACATAGATGTCAAAAACTTAAACAAATGATTAGCAAACCAAGTTTTAAAAATATATTTAAAAATATAACAAATACTGCCAAATTGGGGTAAACCCAGGAACTATCCTTAAAGGGTTAGAAAATCAATTGGCCGGGCGCAGTGGCTCAAGCCTATAATCCCGGCACTTTGTAAGGCCAAGACAAGAGGACTGCCTGAGCCAACAGGTTCGAGACCAGCCTGGGCAACTTGGTGAAACCTTGTTTCTACAATAAACAAAAAATTAGCTGGGTGTGATAACATACATCTGTAGTTCTGGCTACTTGGAGGACTGAGGTAGAAGGATTGCCTAAGCCCAGCAGGTCGAGGCTGTGGTGGCTGTGAGCGTGCCACTACACTCCAGCCTGGGTGACAGAGTGAGACTCC